GGAGCCCCAGAAGCTGGGTGGTGGGGAGGGTAAGAACAGGAGGGAGAGGGGACACATGTCTGCCAGGAGCTTTTTCTGTGCTGGCCACTTTGTCAGCCCATCTCACTCATTTTTATAGCCTGTGGGGAACAGAATCACTCCTGTTTTCCAGATGAGGAAATTGGAGTTTACAGAGATTAAGTAACTTGATGATGGTTATTTACAAAGTGATGAAGCTGGGGTCTGACACCAGGTTGGGTCTGAAGCCCATGCTTCCCCACTACAACACTTGGCCTCCCTAGGGTGGGGGTGGGGATCAAAATAACCCTGTGAGCCTGGGGTGTAGGAAGAACTCATGACTGTGGACGGGGGTCAGGAAACTGGGAAAGGGGACCTTTACACAGAGAAAGACTTCAGGGTTTCTATTTTACGAATTCTCCAAATTAAAGAACCTTGTATGCAGGTGGGGTGATATCTAAGCAGAAATACCCTAGAGACAGCTGGAAATCCATGGGGGAGGGAATGAGGCCGGGATGGACATGTACTGAGGTCACAGGCAGACAGGTCGTAGGCATCAAGAAGTATGAGCAAACTCCTCTAGGAGTGAAACACAAGGGGAGCAGGACAGAGTCTTGGCAGAGCCACAGCTAATGGCAGTGGGGCGAGAGAAAGGAAGGAGGAAAAGGTCCCACCCACAGGCACAGATGGTCACATGCGCACACAGCCATTCTGGGCTTAGGTGCATCCCAGTGCCAGGGAGATAATCCTCCTTCTGTTCCATTTGTGAAGTGTACTTATTTTTCAAAGCACAACTCACATGTCTGCAACCCCTATTAGAACAGAAACTCTTGTTCATCTCTGTAACCGTCACAGAGCTTAGCATAATACTTGGCACATAATAGGTGCTAAATGAATATTGGTTGAGCTACACTGAAAAATTAAAGAGAGAGAAGAACTATTTGGGGATGGCAGTCAATGACTTTCTGAGCCACACCTTCTTCATTTGTGAGCTGGAATAATCATCGTTAGTATGAGATGAGATATGCAGGTAAACATTTAGTGCAGTTCCTAGAGCATGGCTGTTGACTAACTGGTAATTATTATTATTAGCTGGCAGCAACCAGAGAGTTAGTACAGTAGAGGTCTGGAGTGAAGAATTTGGGGAAAAAATGCGTGCAACAATTCCAAGTCCCTTTGTGGAACATAGTTGGCCCTCTCTCTCTCACATGCTATGAAAGATGTTAGGCACAAGAGACCCCCCCACAACTGATAACCTACATCATCTGGATCTCCCCCACCACCCCAAGTATAAGAAGAGTCTTAGTCATCTAAATTTGGTCCTATAGTGGATAGCTGCAATGAACTTCATGGCTGGTTCTATGAGTTTAACATCAAAATTGTTGGGGATTTTGATTTCCAGCTAGATAACAGGTCCACCTGTGTTTTTCGGTTTTTATTGGATTCTCTAAGTCAAAGTGTGTTTACTCTACAGTTTGGTGGCTGCTTTGATAGGGAAATATGGTACCCCAGAATCCTAGAAGCAGCAGCATCACATTGTCCAGCCTATCAAAGACAGAAATCACTGCTCCCTGACACAAAACACCCTCTGTGCTAAAACAAAGCATCTATGTGGAGGCCTTCCCAGCAGAGAATTCTCCCTCCTCAGCTGAGACCTGAGGCGGGTTGAGGATACAGAACAAAGGTCTGGCATCTGGAGGCCCAGTTGGGTGAAAAGGGCCCAGGATTTTCAATGACCCGACAGTTCCCTTTTATCACAGCATCTCCCTCCCAGTAAGCAACTTTCTCCTCACCTTTGGGCCTGAGTGTGCACCCAAAGCCCCGAGTTTATCCACTAGAATGAGGCCTCCTATCTGGAGCTGTGGTCCAGCTCCCTTAGGACTCGGCTTCCCTGGAGACCAGGCCCATGGGACCCTTGCTGTCTGCCCCGCTTCTGCCCTCCGTTGTTCAGTCCTCATATCACTGAGAAGGGCAAAGCCAGACCTTTTGCCTTCCCCTCCAAAGCCCAACCTCTTAGGCTCTGCTCTCCGCCCCTTACTCCCCTCCCCCACATACCCCCCCCTTTTCTGGGCATAAGGGACCTTTTCTATTTGCAGAGCCTAAAGAAGCTGGTTGCCAAGGTGACAGGAGCAGGAACAGCAGGGAGCTTGCCATGGGGGAGGGGCTTTGCCCCGAAACAGCTGTCAGTGGGAGCAGTCCCAGCTGGGACTAGAGGGTCTGCTTGCTCTGGGAGGAAATAACCCCCAGGAGAATACATTCTTCTCTGCTCTGGTCCCCCATGCTCCCAACCACAAGTCTCCACTGGTTACTGTCCCTGGGGGCAGCCAGTCAGCCAGCTCAAAAATGCTCCAACAACAAACAAAAAACGCTTGCACTCTCTCTCTCTCTCTCTCTCTCTCTCTCTCTCTCTCACACACACACACACACACATGTGCGTGCACACAAGCACAAGCATGCTCAAGCATGCTCTTCTCTCTAGTTCCCTGATCCCTTGATTCATCTACAGTGGGTTGGTTGGGCAAGAGGCCAGAAATCACCTCTGCCTGGGGAACTGTGTAGCCCCAGACAGGTGCTGCTCTGGGCTGCCCCCCACCAGCTCATAAGAATTATTTCAGTCTTTTTTGTTCCAGAGGCCCTGAGAGGATCTGCCACTCCTAAACCTCCCCCAGCTGCCTCCCACTTGGGAGGTGGGTGTGGGGGAGTGCAATCACAGGACTTACAGGGAGGAAGGAGTGGGAGAAAAAGAAAGAATAGGCCAGGACAGTGGGAAGCAGCACAATGCAAGGCCCACTGATTTGTGTCTCTGGGGAGAGGGTCTTTGTGGGGCTGCAGCTCACAGCTGCTCCATAGAAAGTTCTGTGAAGGCCCTGGTCCCTGCATGGCATTCTAGCCATGGACTGTTAGTCTCGGGCCCCTGGACCTTAAGCCTGTAACTCATTGGCGTTAACCTTTACACAGGGTCTTCATTAGACTCTGTAAACCCCAGTCTTACAGCCCCATAGCTCTTTGAGTTTTGGGTCAGGAACGGGCAAAGCTGAAGAGGCTCCACATTACTATAAGAGCTAAGAGGTGCGCTCTGGCTTGATGATTAGGAACACAGGGTCTGACTTGGCCAGCTTTGGAACAGGCTCCCAGTTTTACCACTTACTACTTTAGGTAACCTTCAGTGACAAATGTAGTAAGCTCTTGGGAACCTCTCTGAGCTTCAGTTTTCTCATCTGCAAAGTGGATAACAATGCCTGCCTAACAGGGTTCTTTGGAAATTTAGAGAAGTGGTATGCATAAAAATGCCTAGCATATTATCTAGCACATCTCGTAAGTGCTGGTCCCCTTTCTGTTCAGTTTTCTTGAGAACTCAGAGTTGTCTAACAGCCTTAGCAGTGACCCAAGAACTGGTCTTTCTAGAATTTGAGGGGCTGGCTTAGGTTTAGAGAGAGGTTCCATTTTGGCCTGGGCAGGAATGGGGTTCTCAGGAAGTCCTGAGGCTTAGGGTATATAGGTAAAATGAGAACATAGAAAAAGTACTAATTTGGGGTCCCAGCTCTAGGCCAAGCTGCTACCAAACACACTGCAATATCCCCTAGTCTTTACCCTTCTAAGCCTCATTTTCTTTTTCCATACAAAAAAGAGAGCGGACCAATCTCTGGAGAAAGCAATGCCAGACAGTGAGAAACACCTGGAACCACGGGCTAATAAAACCTTTGCAGGGAGGTACCTTACTGGCTCAGCAGTGAACCCTGGAATGCAGTGACTGACCCTTTAACCTTCTATACTTTCTGAAAGCTAAAGGTAAAATGAAGGACTTTAACTCACTTACGGGATGTGCTAGATAATATGCTAGGCATTTTTATGCATACCACTTCTGTATGTGGTATATAAAGAGGCTGGTCTCGAACTCTTGGGCTTAAGCAATCCTCCTGCATGGGCCACAGCATCTGACCTATATTGAGATATATTCTTGATATATTTTCACAAGAATAAATCTACAGGTTAGACTGGATGGTCAAATGGTTTGGATGAGGGCAGAGGGTTAGTGCTTGTCTCAGGGGTGTGACCAGAGTGATTCTCTTTATAATGCAAAGTCATGTGGCCCACCACTATATTTATTTTTATGGTAAAATAGCTTGGTCTTATTCTCTAGACTGATAAGCCTCGCTTCTAGGGCTCTTGGTGATCTTCTTATTGAAGACTGCCTACAATAGGCAGTGCTGGGAGCATTTAACAGTCAGGGATAGGAGTCTGGCCAGGTTATACTGCATACTAACTCATCCCCTTCACAGAACTTGCCTTACAAATAATGTTAGATTTAAAATTTTTTTTAGTCTGCCAGATCTATTCCCAAGTGTCACCCTCACTGGCAAGCCTTTCCTGACTCTTCTCCTCAAGGCTAGATAGCTCCTCTGTGCTCCTACAGTGCTCAGAGCTTAGATATATTCTAGCACGGATCATGCTCTAGTATACTGCACTTGTCTGTGTCCTCAACCAGACTGTGCACTCCTTGGCAGGCAGGGCCCAAGGCTCATTTATCTCCGCATACCCAGAACTGGCCACATGACTGGCAAATATTAATCAAGACAAGTCTACCAATGATGAGAAAATAAACTTTCCACTTCCCATCTCCCTTTCCTCTTCCCATCTCAAATGTGGTTTTGACATGCTTCTGGCTGCCGCTGTCCTTTTTCGCTGAGTCTTAATTTGAAAATAGCCCAACTGCCAACCTGCACTCATGCAAGGTTAAGAGCTATGATAGTGTATTCCAAGATTTACCATTGTGAAGAAGGATGCCTGTATTCTGACTGACATAGCTTCCTTCCTTAGAGTAAGCCTAGAAGCATGAAACAGAATCAGGAGCTGATAAACACCTTGAGACAGGAAGAGAGGAGAGAGAGACTGGTGATTGGTAGCTTAGCAAGTCCATGGGAAAAAGGAAAGTTTCAAAGTTTCCTGCTGCCCCAGAGCCCCGAGTTTCCTGGGCTAGGATTCCTGCTTCCTGGAGCCCTTACCTGGTGCAATGAGGGAGTGGGTAGCCACAGCAGGAACTGCCCGGCTGGGCCCACCGCGGCCCTCCATGCTTCCTGGCACACTGCTGCTGCCATCTCCTTTCTTGAATGGCTCCACCACACTGTCAGTCATGCCAGGCTTGGCCCCTGCGGGGGAACCCTGAGCAATGTTTCTGCCCTGTGATGTAGAAGGCAGAGGCTGGCTACCACCAGGTGTGGATTTCAGGGCCAAGCTGGGCAGGACAGGCTGCGTGGGGGTAGGGCCCGAGGCTGCTGCAGCTGGTGTCTGCTGTGTTCGGAGGGTCAAGTTCTGTACCTGGAAAAGAGGGGTCTATGGGAGTCCAGAGAATGCGGGTAGGAGCAATGCCAACACACAATTAAGAAGGGGAAAAGAGTTAGAGATGGATCCAGGAATGGCTGAACAGAATAGTGGGTTGTAAAATTAGAGAAAGAGAGAAAATGTGTTAGGGGCTGAAGGAGGAACCAGGAGCAGGTAAAGTTTCTAAAGAGAGCAAGAAAGTTTGCTAGTGAGTGGATCCATCAGCAGAAAAAAACTGAATTCTGAGGAGGAATTGCTGCCCATCTGGGGCAGGCAGGGGCAGGGAGGCCAGGCTTTTTCCCTCCTGTTACCCTCCTTCCTCCCCCAAACTTTCAGGATTGGATGCATACCACTAAGGAATAATTCCAGACAGGTGGAGCATGGGGCTTTCTGTGCTGGAAAAGGCCAGGGCAAGACTGTAAATTAATTGACCAGCAAGGCCACCAGGCAAAGGATTATCTCCTCAGAAAAAGGTTAACACCAAGTTCAAGACGCTGGCAAGCTCATGCACCTGGTCCACGGTGCCCTCTGCTGGACGCATGGAGGCTATGCCAGACTCTGATAATTTTGCTACCAAATCTTCTCTCCTGGTGCCCATTGTAGAGGGGGATAGGGAGATGAAGTGGCAGGGTGCTCCTTTCCTAGCTGCTCACAGAATCTTCACAGTCACAATAGTATCTGTGTACTCCCAGTAGAAGGTGGGAGCCCAGGACACACCTTTGCTCCCTCTCCAACGCTATTTTCCCAATTCCTGGCAGTGCTAGCATGTGTAACCAGAGTGGGATTTTCCACTTATGAAGCAGCAACAAAATAAGCCATCCTGGGGACAGTGCAAGGTACAGAATGGCAGTGCTGACCACCATGCTAGGCTTTGCACGCTGTACTCTGGCTCCTGACCTATGTTTCAGGGAACAACATAGAATCAAGAGGGGCCAAGGCTACTTGGACAAGAATTAAAGAGCACGTCTGGGAGCACTAGGATGTCCTGACTCCCATCTGCTTTCCTGGAAGACCCTGGCCTCTCCAAAGAGTCTAGGCTCCTCCAGGGTGTGCACCCGTGCCCAGTATCAGCACCCCTCTGCAGTGGTACCCACCCCCTTGCCCTCCCACAAGCATGGGATCCTCACCTGGGCGGGGGTGGGGGGCCGGGCGGGGGAGCCAGTGCCGAGCTCAGGCTGCACAGTAGCGACGGTGGCCGTGGGCGTGAAGATGAGCTGAGGGGACAAAGGAACAGTGCCGCCTAGGCTCCTAGCTACCTGCACCAGGTTACCTGGCTGGGCCTGGAATCACAGGAAACGAGGTGCCGTTTACCTGCCCAATGTGGGCTCAGCCACAGGACAGAACAGTTTTGCCCAGGAGCAGCTGTGGAGACGGCTAGGGAAGTGGAAATAGGAACGCAAGGAGGGCAAAGTCCAAGGGGACCACCACAAAGTCTCAAGAGGCTTGTAGTATTCTGACCTAGGCGGGAAAGTGGAGGGGCCAGGAATAGAGGAGTCACCCTGGGTCTGCACCAAAGCCAGGAACCCTCTGTGTGGGGCTCGTCCCAGCAGGGACTGATGTTCCCAGGACACCCTGGAGTCCTCTCAGCATGCTGGGAACCAGGGACCTTGGGCTGAAACAGATGGCCTAGGAGCACTTTTCAGGTCTAACCCACTGCTGACCCCAGGGCTGAGTCAGGACAAGAGACTCTGTCCTGTCCTCCTGAAGGGATCGAATTAGGTGTATTCCTTTATTCATTCCCCAGTGAAATTTAGATTCAGGGGAACCTAAGGACAACTACAAAAGAGGAACCAGGCCACCTGGGGCTGTGCTGGTGTCTGAGTCTTGCCCTGTAGGGTAAGGTTATATGATGTTCTCTGTATGACACCTTGATCTTGGGTAAGCCTAGCTCTGTAACAATGTGGGTACACTGGGGTCCTGACAGGGTGCTTTCCCTAGAACTCTGTGAAGATATGCCTGTGCTTATTCCTCTGCGTGTATACCCTGTTTTGGAGACGGAGGCAGACAGGCATCAGGATACCAACTGGGACAGTTGAATAGGACATGGTGATAAGCAAACTAAGACAAATGGAGCCTGGGGGCATCACCATGTGGCTGTCCAGTTCCCTACAGAAATGGAAATCTACCTCATGCTTTGTGTCTAAGAGACTATTCCCTGGGAATGGAGTTGTGCCTCCAACGATGAACTCAGAGCTGAGAACAAAGTGTGGCTCCAGGCGTCAAGCTCTGGCCACAAGAGCTAAGGCAGGGGTAGGACTGTATTGCCTTCAGGATGGCATATCAAGGGGCCAGAGGCAGAAATCTTTAGAATGGGGAGGTATGAGATATGGCTCATGGGAGGTATGAGACATGGCTTGCAGTGATCTGAGCCCAACACAGAGCTGTATATTACTGCCTCCCAGAGAGTACACTACGATTTCCCCAGGAAATTCTTCTCAATCTTAGGTTCTTGTTAGCTTCCTAAGAACCCATGCACCTCTTAGGGACAGGTGCAAAGGTGAGATTCTAGGTCTGCAGGCCCAGGGTGGGTGTTCTACTGAGTACATTCTGCCCAAAGAAGCTCTGCAGACCCTGCTTAGGGTGGGACAGGAAGTTGAGGTAGCACCTGCCCTGAAGCTGGCTGCCACCTCACCATGAGTGCTGCAATGCATCTTGGCCCCTGAAGAGACCAGTCCTTGTAAGGACTATCTTGGCAGGAGAAGATCTCATCTCTGTAGGGCACACAGGTGTATCTGCTTATCTTACATGCCTGAGTGTCCAGGATCATATTGGCTTTAACCCCTGAACTGTTCTCCCTTATCAGTGTTGAGGAGTAGTTTCTGATAAGGAAGGGACAATTCTGTTTCATTCTAGGAGGAGAAGGAAAGGTGGCGTCATGGGTAACCTCCCCTATTTCAGCCCAAAGTCCCACCCCTTGTGAATCACTGAACCTATCCCAGCACTCCTCTCGGCCTTCCAGACCCCCTCCTTTATCCCACCCCTTCTCTCTTGCCCCCATCCCTAGTGCTTCTTCCCTACCCTTTCTAATCTCCCAGCTCCCCACTTCTCTGCCGCTGTCCTCGTGGCATCCCAAGCCATGGCCCAGGCGGTGGGTACTCACCATCTGTGCCCTTAGATACATCTGTGCTTGGCTCGCAGTCAGAGCTGGGGAAGATGTGTTGCCCAAGAGCACAGCCTGCTGGGCAATGCCCGAGGCCGCTGCTGAGTTGACACTCTGGGCCCGGTTGAGGAGCTGGGCTGCAGCTGGGGAGGCTGCCAGGTTGATCTGATGATAGACACAGAGATAGGAGGTTCTGCTGGTGAACTCCGTCCCCTCGTCATTTATCCCCCCTTCTGTTCCTTGGCTTATTCAGTCTTCTTTAGGACCATCTCTGGTCCTTGGGCCTTGGCGCTTCCCCCAGTGCTGCCCCATCTTGGGTGCAGAGCTGCAAGGGGCTTCCAGTGTTGACAGAAGTGAGCTATCCACAGAGAGCCTTGATACTGAGAAGATGGCAGGGGGTTATTAATCTAAGGGTTAGAAAGAGACATGCACTTTTTTTTCCTGACAAGAGCAACAGATTCTAGCCATAATTCCACGTGACTACAGATGCAACAAAATGGATCTCGGAAGTCATGAGCACTTTAGGCAAGGAGGAAGGAGTTGTTCCCAGAGCTGTGAGCTCTGCCTGCCAGCCCCATCCTACTCACCGAAGATGACTGTGCTGGAGCCTGTGCGGACGCGTTACTGCCTGAAGTACTCCCTTGTCTGTTGGCCACCAGACTTGCCTAGAAGAGAACAAACTCCTCTTGTTGAGGTACCAGACCTCCCCCAGCCGTTTCTGGGCTCTCCTCCTCCACTGGAGGCACAGCAGGCAGCAGCCTCTGGAGCCAAACCCCAACCCACCTCCTCTGTGCTGCCTTGAGCACCTGCACAGCTTCCTCTCTCGCAAGGTGGGGATAATAACAGCACCTGTCTCACAGGACAGCTGAGAGGACTGAGGAGGCACAGCATGGCCCCTAAACACCCCAACTGGTCGTGCTTGCCGCTGCTAGTCGCTCTATCAGCCATCACACCTCTGGGCCCCCAGGCCCCACACTGGCAGTTTGCCGACATGAGTTGGAATGCCCAAACTGCGCTCTCCCCCTGGCCAGCTTCTTCTCATCCTTCAAGCATTAGCTACAGTGTTACTCTAGCAGACAGGCCTTCTCTGACCACTCATGCAAAGATGCAAGGTCATCCTTGTCCTTCAGTCACGGCAATCTGTTATTCTCTTCATAGAGCTTGTTACAACTTAGGTATTTAAATATTTTGTTTCCTGGGCTGTTTTGGTTCCTGTTTACTCGCTGTCTCCCCACTGTAAACTCCAAGAAGACAGGCACACAGTATACCCAGTGCCTGACATAAACTTTGCAAATGGTAGGTGCATAAAACATTTTGTTGACTGAACGAGTGAATGTGTTCTTCTCAGCTAAGGAGTGAGAGCAACAACAGACAGACAAGCTGAGTGGGCAATGCCCTTCACTTGTGCACAGATGCTTGGAGTCCACAGACCCTCCTCTAGACCTACAGTGATGTGGTGAAGAACGGGGCCCCCAACTCTTCTTCCCCAGGCTAGATAGGGTGAGAATTCACTGTTCCACTTACTAGCTGTGTGATTGGGCTCTGCTCTTCAGATGCCAGCAGGAGGGGAAGACAGCTGTGCCCGCTTCGTGGGGCTCTGTGAGGACTCAGCGAGAAAAGGCATGCCGAAGCACTGGCACAGTGACCTCTTCCTCGCCCTCTTACCCACAACCCTGGCTCCCAGCCCCCGTGTATTGGCCATCCCTGAGCCTTACCTGCTGCACGGCTGCCAGGCTCTGGAGATGTGCGCCACTGAGGTGCTGCTGCTGCAGGGCTGCCGTCTGTAACATGAGGTGCTGCTGCTGGGCGGCGTACATCTGCTGCAGGTATTGGGCTGCCGTGCTGGGCTGCCTGTGCAGAGCCTGCTGGATCACCTGAGTGGGCAAGGGGAACAGCCGCGGTCAGCTCTGCACACATGCCCCTCAGGCATCAGTGCCATGTCCAACCCAGCTCTCCCTAACTGCTCTGAGCAGGACACCAGGATGTGTGACCACCACTGAAGCCACTTTCCAGGGGCCGGGGAGGACAGCTGTCTGCGGACTTTTCCTTGTTTGCCTTGTCCACATTACCCTCCCCTCAGCTCCTCCTCGGCACGGTCTGCTCTTGTGTTGGCCCTCGCACTGAGGAGAGTCAAAGCTGTCCCACACTGCTCTAACCAGCCCTGGGGCCGCAGAGGCTCAGGGAGACAGAAGTGTCCTCATTAGGCTTTTTAGACACTCCTCTTTGCCCCCTCCAATGACACTCGCCAGCCTCACACGAGGGTGAGGCTCAACAGGGTAGAGAAAAGAAAGCGGGTGGGAAAGAAGCGCTGCATTAGAAGGGGGCCTGTTTCAGCCTCAGCAACAGCCAGTGGACTCAAACTTAGGCAGAGGCAACACTCTCCTCCAAAGGCTGGGGCTTCAAGGAAGACTTGGGGTCACTCCCTAGGCTTTGCTTCCTGGAAGTCCCCTCAGTCTCTTAGAAGAAGGTTGGCAGGCCAGGCTCGGTGGCTCAGCCTGTAATCCCAGCACTTTGGGAGACTGAGATGAGTGGACTGCCTGAGCCCGCCAGTTCGAGACCAGCCTGGGCAACTTGGCAAGACCTCACCTCTATAACAGATAAAAAATTAGCCGGGCACAGTAGTGCATGCCTGTAGTTCTGGCTACTTGGAATGCTGAGGCGGAAGGATCGCCAGAGCCCAATGAGACTCCAACTAAAAAAAAAAAGTTGCCTAGGCCTTGCAGAACCAGCAGGTACCACAGGAACACCACATTCCTCTTTTATTCTTTTAAAGTTTTTATTTTATACATGTGGGGATCTCTTTTATTCTTCCCCCCTATTGCTCCCTAATTTTAGCTACTGTCTCCCACTCCCCAGCCTTACTGCTTATCCTCTTTCCTGATGGGACTGGCTGAGTAGCAGTCTCCAGAAAATGACAAAAGGCTTCTTTGATTCTCCTCCACCCCCAGGAACAAAGAACAGCAAATGCCTTTCCTAGCCCTAAGAGCCTCTGTCTTCTTCCCATGAGTCCCAGAGACATTTATCTTCCCTTCTCCCACTGATCCTCCCAGTGGATGCCCTATACTAGCCCTAGCCAAGTCCACCTACATCCTGCCCTCAGTCCTGCTGAATCCCTGGTCACAGGCAGCTCCCAGTCCTGGGCCCTGTCCTGGCAAGTGTCCTTGCCCAGCTTGCTGTGATTTCTAGGGCTGGCAGCTCTAAGACAAAACAACCTCTGGGCTCAGATTTGGGGTTCTGTGGCAACCGTGTGATATCACAGATCCCCCAAGGGCTCTGATGTATCCTCGGGCATCCCCACTCTTTCCAACCCTTCTACATCTCTCCCCCAGACTCCGCTCCCCTTAAGTGAACTCTCCCTTCTGGTATCCTGTTTTATATGAACTCCATCCTGTTTACCTTCTGATTTTTGCAGATATGTTCTTATTCCTTTTACCTAAACCTTTCTGTTAGACTCCCAAAAGTGACCTCCCCACCAGCCTGCCAGCAGTAGTTGAGATTCTGTGACTCTTCCGAACAAGAGGATGTCCATGATGGAAACCCAAGGAGACTATAATGATTCTGCTTGGGCTCCAACACTACCTTGGGTTATTCCACTTGCTAGAGCAAAAGTCCTAAAGCCCTTTGATTAGAGTTGTGATGAGCTGTAGGAGTGGGCATATCCTAGTGTTGCTGCTGAAACTAGAGCTAATGTACTAAGGAATCAGGGCAAGAGGCTGGGGTGGGGGCAGGAAACATGGCTTTACTAAGTATGAGGCAGAAAGAAGTGGGAAAGGGAAGATTCTAGAATATCTGATGGTGTCCTTGTTAACTCCATTTTCCAGGCCCTCTCACTGCCTGCCTGGCTTCTCCCCAGTCTCTTATCTGGGCCTAGGGCCAAAGCAGGATGAGGTCACTTTTCTAGTATAACCAAACTGTAATAGCAAAGTCACTTAGAGTCAGCACTTCTCGGCTGTGGTCTCTCTTTTCTGCCTGTATGATCCAGGAACCTCAAACAGACATTGTAGTGATTAAGAACACAGCTTTGGGGTTCTTAATCTCAAAACCTGGGATTAAGATTAGAGTTCATTTTTTTTTTGTCTTTACCTAAATAACCCTGGACAAGTTATCACCTTCTCTGAGTCCCAGTTTCCTCAACTATAGAGTTGTGCTGAATAATAGCCACTTTCACAACTAGAGAAGAAGATAAATATGCAAAGTGCTTATTACAGCACTGGGCACATAGATGGCAATACATGGTCATGATCGTGTGCTGGAACAGTGTGACCATCTGGAAGGTCTCACGAATGACCCTTTGCAAACTGCTGCTTTAGAGAGAAAGGTGAAAAGCTGCAAAGACAGAGGGTTATTTGGGGGTTCCATCTTGGCCCTCAGTCCTTGAAAAACTTAGACTGCTCCTTATAGAGCAATGGCCATTTAGAAAGTGGGTTTAGGTGGGTGAGCAGCTCTCAGTCATTTTTTACTTGTTATTTTTACTTGTCTGCCCTTCACACACCTATCCTCCCAAAACAGCACTCTAGGCGCTAAACCAACAGGCAAGAAAGGAGTTTTTCTGATCTGCGAAGCATTTTTCTTCTATCCAAACTTCCCTTATTGGTCTCATCCTGCATTGCTTCTCCTCTAACTATGCCCAAATGTAGATCTGCTAATGCACTTCTTCATGCCCATTCTAGAGTCGACATCCAGATTATTCCACCAGGCCATGCAAATACCTCCTCCTGGCTAAGCCTGCAGATGATTAAGGAATACAACTTCTGGAATAATGAGAACTTTACCTGCACAGTCTGCCGGTCAGGAATACCACTGTACACAGAAATCTGGGGCCCAGTGGGGCGGCCACTTCCACCGCTGCTGCTATTGCAGCTGCTGCTGCTACTGGCCCCGCTGGTGCTGCTGGTGGCAGAGGCACTGCTAGATGTATGCGGGACTGGCAGCTCATTCTCCATGGCCTATAGGGTGGTGGAGTCAGGGTGCTCAGATGGCAGAAGAGCAGGCAGATGCTAGGAAGGAAGAGGCAGAAGTGAAATGTTTAATCCATGCTTACTAGAGAATGAACACAGACACCCTCCATATCTGTGGGTTCCATATCTGTGGATTCAACCAACCCCAGATTGAAAATATATTTAAAAATTGCATCTGTACACTTTTTTCTTGTAATTATTCCCTAAATAATACAGTATAACTATTTGTATAGCATTTATATTAGGTATTATAAGTAATCTAGAGATGTTTTAAAGTATACAGGAGGATATATGTAGGTTATATGCCAATACTACGCAATTTTATATCAGAGTCTTGAGCATCCATGGGTTTTGGTACCTGTGGGGGTTCCCAGAACCAAGCCCCTGTGGATACCAAGTCACACAAGTGATGACTGCATAGTACATGCCTCAGCTTTCCAGACAGCCTATGGTGGGGCCTCTTGGGAAGTAACACACTTGCCCTCAGGAGGACGAGGCCAGGCTTGGTTCATAAAGTGAGATTTTAGATCGGGTCTACCTGATTCTAAAGGCTGTGACTTGTTCATTCTGCTAGCGGAGGTAAAACTGGGAAAGGAGGTCTTCTATAGCGTTCTCCCTAGCAGTGATCTTAGGAGTCATCTCTTTCCCCATCAACCTCTTCATCTTTGGGATAAGGAAACTGAACATCAGAGAACTTATTATTTGTCCATATTTATACAGTTACCTAGTTAAAGAAGTAGGACTAAAAATCTACAGAGAATAGAATGAGAGAAAGAGGCAAACTAGAAGGCCTGAAATCAACAGAAGCATTTATTTTTGTTTTGCTTTGTGTTCAAAGCCAGAAGAGCTTGAGTGTATGTGAAGTCTTTGTTTTCTTTATTAAGTTCATACTAACTGAGTGCTCTCTAAATCTAAGGCTGAGCAGGGAACTACATTGAGCAATTTGGTAAAAATCTCATGTTTTAGAGTCAGAAAGACTTGGCTTTGTCCTGGCTTTGCCACTTTCTAACTGGGGAATCTTGGCAAATTCACTTGTCTGATCTTCTGTTTCTTCATCAGTCAGACATGAGAATATATGGATTGTTGTGAATGTAAAGAAAATGATGATACCAAGTGCTTGGCAGATTGGCAGGTATACACTAAGTGCTCTGTAAGCACTGGCTGTTCTTGCAGCCTGGTTTTCACTGTTCAATAGGTCAGGCCTCTCCCAAATGAGATTGGTAGGGCCTCTTGGAACCTCCTATCCCTGTCAGCACGGAATGTCAGAAATTCCTTCAGGGACCATCCTATGGTGTGATACAGAACCGGAAGCTGCATACTCCCTTGAGGCTATGTGCTCAGGAGTGGAGAGGGCTTGGGAAAGTAGAAAAGGGTGGGGAGAGAGGCACTCCCAAATCTGAGTTCAAATTTCTCTCCTTTTTCATGCTTTTCCTCAAATTCTTATTTTTATGTGTAAGCTTTTCCTTCTGCCCATTCCCTCCCATGTATAAAAATAATATTTGTTTGTCACCCCATCATAGACATTTCACCCTCTGCTTATAGATTATACCATTTTAATAAGTACAGAAAACATGATTTTTCACATTAATGAAATCATTGATTAGAACAAAGAACCAAAATAATCATTAATATCCTGTTGTTGTCTCCCCGATATTGTTCAGTTTGGGAGTTATTATTTCTCAGGCTGCCTTATTCCGATGGAGTGAATTTCACCGTGGGCTGAAAAATAGTGTAGGTAAAGGCTAAAATACAGGAATGTTGGGGGTCAGGAAACCTGAGTCACTCCCAGGTGACAGGCAACAAGTTGTTTATGGCTTCCAAGGCAGTGTATACCCATCTGCAGACTGCACTCATGACCTGGGTCTTTAAGCAGTGATTTTTCCTAATGTCTATATGCCTGCTTTTACTGCCACAGGGTGAGGACTTTGTCCCTGGATCCTGAACTGCACTTAGTTCCGGGCGTCATTATGGCTACTGACTTGTTAAGGATGCTTATGATGATAAAAATGATGCAGGATTCAATGAAGCAGCAAAGTCAACAAGTATTTCCTTATGGACTTTATCTTGTGTTCTAGGGAGGACAAGCTAGGCTAGAGTAATAGTGGTAGAAGGTATAATTACTGATCTTGCAGAAACGGAAAAACTAAGTGTAGAGATGAGGTTCAATTAAAATTTTAAAGACCACTAAGCAACAAATCAGTAAAGGATAGTTCCATTCAAACATGGAATACCCCAAAGAATCCCAAGGTCATCTCTTAGTTCAGTGCTCACCTCCCTTTCTCAAAATGTTGACTAGAACTGGGTTTCAGTTCTTGCTTTTCACCCCATTCTAGGAAATCTCTACTGAAGTACTTATAAACATAAAAAATAACATGGGAAACAGGGTATCAACCACAGCAAATTAAGAGGATGGAATAATCTACATCCTGCACGATCAAGCCTCAGCTCTATTTTTTTTCTCTTGCAGCAGCTAGGGCAAATATTGTGGACAAGTATACTCAAATCTTGTTGCGGAATAAAACAAGACAAAATTCTCAAGGCAGCATGGCATTGCTTTATATAGAAACTGTACCAGGACAGCCACTGCTCCACGCAGAGAAGAGAGCCTGCAGCAGCTTGGGACAGGACCCAGTGCACTTCTGCACTCTCTTGCCCACCTGTCTCCCTCCTGCAGGCAAGTGCACCTTTCTTTTCCCTCGACACACCCTCCTTCTGGGCTTTGCCTCCCTCTCCTTTTCTGTCTCAGTGATTTCTGCTATCTCCAGCCTCTGATTTTCCCACTCTTACTCCTGCCCCTTAGCCCCCCATCCTGTCTCACACCTGTGCTCACACTCGCCCTCCCTTTCACATGATATCTTCCAGCTGCTTCCTTACAAGAGCCCATGCTTAGTTAGCTCTCCTAAACACTCTCTTGCTCCCTTGCCCTCGCTGATTGATCCTGATTGGTTGCTCAGTTTGCTCTAATGAGCTCTCTCTCCCATTCTTGACCTTGCTCTTTCATGATCTGCTCACCTTTGACCTACCTCCCTCTGCATCTGGCTCCCTGTCTGGTTCTTCCTGTGTCTGCTCCCTTGCCGCACAGCTCCAGTTCTCTCTCCCCTCACTCTCCCTCTCTCCCTTCCCCAGGTCCGATCAGCACATCTCCCTCTTACATTCATGCACACCACTCTTACTCTGGATAGAGTATGCTCGAACACCCTCTGTCTCCTGGGCTTGCGCCCTCTGCTCTAACCATGCTCTTGAAAGTCACAGCTGTCATTCTAGTGTGCTGATTGCTCTCTCTCAATCACTCACGCAAAGACAGAGAAGGCCAGAGTCTGACAAAAGGATTGGGGAGTGACCAGTTTTACGTGTGTAACTCAGTGCCATTAACTACACTCACAATGTTGTGCAACCATCACCACCATCTATTTCCAGAACTTTCTCATCACCCAAAACAGAAACTCTATAACCATTAAGCTATAACGCCCCATTCCCTCTAGTCCCCCTGCCTAGCCCATGGTAACCTCTAATCTACTTTCGGTCTCTATGAATTTGCCTATTCTAGGTATCTCATACAAGTAGAATTATACAATATTTGGCCTTCAGTGTCTGGCTCACTTCACTTAGCATAACGTTTTCAAAGTTCTTTCATGCTGTAGCATGTGTTAGAATTTCATTCCTGTTTATGACTGAATGATATTCCATTGTATACATATATACATACTACATTTTGTTTATCCATTCATCTGTTGATGGACACTTTTGTTGCTTCTATCTTTTGGCTATTGTGAATAATGTTGCAATGCAGTGAACATGGCAGTGAGCATGGCATGTATCCTTGCTCTCAATTCTTTCAGGTATATACCTAGCAGTGAAATTGCTAGATCATATAGTAATTCTATACTTGGGCATGTGAATATCTACTTGTCCCTGCACCATTTGTCGAATTACTTCTGTTCTTGGGCCTGCACAGTTCAGTATGGAATGTCATGATCTAACCCTGACTCCTTCCCAGCCTCATTTTTCACACTTCCCTTTCACTGGGCTCAGCATTTTTCCAAATCACCTGAAGTTTTGGACACCTTGCTACTTCCTACCTCTGTGGTTTACTGCTATAGTTTTACTCTTGCTGTTCCCTCCCCTGAAATGCCTCCCTTCCATTTTTCACATAACCAACTCCTTAGATCTTCAAAACAACTTGAGTCTCTCCTGTGAGATGCCCTGAATGCAACCTTCTCTTCCTCTTCTTCTCTTGCTTCCTTTAAGCCATCCTTTTGGATGGCTGCTCCCACAGCACTTTGTATTTGCCTCTCTCTTAGCACTTACAATGTAGTCTTGCAGGAAAGTTATTTGCTTGAGAGTCTGTTCTCCACTGCCGAACCCTGGACTCTGGGAGAACAGGAATCGTGTCATATTTTACCATATATACCTGGTGCTTCATTCTGTAAATACTTGTTGAATAGAATTGTTAGAAATGCACCATACTCCATCCTACTTCTTGCTTGAAAGCAGTTTAATTTCTAACTCATCTGCAAAGTTCTCCCTAACTAGTTTAAAACATAAGCCACATGCAATTTAATTTCAGTACCTTCCGTCAGTGGTGTCCATACTAGTAATAGTGATAATTTATTGAGTATCCACTACTTGTCAAGCACTATAGTAGATGCTTTATATATACTATGACTTTCTTATGGCATAGATTCTATTTCCAAATTTTGTCAATGAGAAACTTAACTAAGTACTTTACCTAAGGTCATCACAGAACTGGGATTCAAAGCCAGGTCTGACTCCAAAGACAGAGTACTTCTCCCATACTCTGCAACTTCACCCATAATCTCACCTTGAGCCATTATTTCAATGACATTAGGCAAACTCCAAGTCAGAACAAACTAGAATTTCAGAGTTGAAAAGATCACCAAACTGAATTCCCTCATTATTAATTAATACCATTCAATATTTTATACTTATAAAATAATCTCTCAATCTAATGTGTATATACAGGATAATATGCATGTGTACTCATCCATCAGTTAAAAAAATCAAACATTACCATAATC